CAAGCGGTTCTCTTTGTTAATCAATAACATAAAAATGACATTCCAATCAAGAAAGAGTAGTCAAAATTTCAATATTAAAATGTATACCAACTAATATAGTTTCAAAATTTAGATTTCTGTATGATTATTTGTATATACCGTATCGTACCATGTCCACCCTATTTTCTAGTGATCATGTTATATGCTTGAAGGATAGTTTCCCTTTCAACACGTGAACTAAACAAACAATGACGAATTGCTCCATATTTAGTTGAAATAATGTAATTTACCCGTCAAGTTAGTTCTTGGAAACTTGGCATCCAGTCTCATGGACTTCCAACTAAATCCAGCACCAGATATTTCACATTATTCAAAAAAACAACTTAGATAACTCAATATGTGTGGAAGTTTCAAGATGATATGATAAAATACATGTTTAACTTTATTCAACAAATAGAACTTGGATAACTCAACAAGTGCAGGCATCTCGAGATATTGATTCCGCGAACATTATAAAGATGGTATACTTTTAATAGTTGTTAAAATACAACATGAGATCTTGCCTCTTCTGATATCAACTCCTTTTCTGAGCTTCCTCCACACTGCCTCGCAACAAAGTTATGACTTGTGCTGGATCTGGAGCTCCAAACACTGAACTTCCTGCAACTATGCAGTTTGCTCCAGCTGATGTTGCTGCCTCAATGGTTGAAGGTCCTAAACCACCATCCACCTGAATCACAATAGCTCATATGAATGATAAACCGACTTTATCCAGCATGCTCTTTGAAAAAGTGAGTGTTAAATCCAGTATGGTTTGACAACATGATAACTCAAGAAATGGGAAATGCACGAGGGAATGGTACATGAAAACATGAAAAAGTCAGAAATCTAAAACAAGAGCTAAACCATCAAGAAACAAAAGCTCACCTCGATATCAAGTGATGGATACTTTTTTCTGAGAGTGCGTACCTAAAAATTGAAAGTGAGGCTCTTTAAGTTATTATGCAGAAAATGATGAATGATATCCAATTTCGAGAATGCCAAATTGTGTTCTCACCTTATCCATCATCTCTGGCATAAACTTTTGTCCACCAAAACCAGGCTCAACAGTCATAACAAGGACCAGTTCGACAGAGTTTTCACCATCAAGCTGTAAAATATACATGCAAACTGGTGTATCATGACAGGTATTTTTGAAGATATCATTAAGTTTGTTCTTGTTTCACTAACAGCAATGGCTACAAGTGATTTCCTTTTCAAAACTATGTTATATTCTTAGTTCACAACAAGGAGAAGTTAACGTATTAAATCCTGAGTAATTCGCCAATAAAACTAATAAAATGTGATAATGAAGAACTACCAGTGGGTACACTTCTTCAATTGGTGTACCAGGCTTCAAAGAAACTCCAGGTTTCATGCCCTTTGACTTTATCTTTTGAACAAGCTCTTGCCAATTATCTGCAAAGAGTAATACCTTCTAAGTAACAGAAATGAAAGTTAATAATGACAAAGTCCTCAGAAATCAAAGATAAAATGTTTTACGAAAATGTTGTCCAGTTTTCAGGTTTTGGTTGCATTAACCTATTACTAAAACAATTTGCCAACCAAAATGTTTCACAACAAATTAAACAGAGTAAAACAACTCAATGTATTTAGGGCACGAAACAAATTTATGCAACGATGTTCCACCACCAATAATACAAAACACTGACATGCAATATGTCCCTTATTGAGCCTTTTGGACAAACTACTCATAGTTTATACCCTAGTCCCATCATTTTCCTATATCACTGAAACAATTTTATCACATTATAGTGAACAGCTACTAACATTAACTTATCAAATGCCAAAAGAGATTCTCCCTCAAATACTTTATAGATCTAGAGTGCAAAGTAAACCCCACCTCTAGATGCCTCAACATGGAAAGTAAAGCCTGAGGCCCCAGCTTTGCCTAGAGGTTCAACATAATCAAGGGGGTTAGTGACCATTAGGTGGCAGTCTAGATATGCCCTGTAGAAATTTAGAACAACGGTTAGAACAACTTCATTGTACGATAAATAAATTATGGACAAGAAAAATAAAGTTGAAATAGGGCACTCATGAAACCATACTTTGTATGCTTTCTGAGACTCTCGATAATTGGAGCACCAAGGGTAAGGTTTGGGACAAAGTGACTGCAAAAGAGACAGGTGCAAAAATAGTATTACAGTGCCTTTTGTGTTTAGAAATATGAAAAAATCCAATGAGCATAATTTTCAATCAATTATCCACCCATCATTTTAGCATGCATACAACCAGAACTTGACCTGAATATCTGACCTACCCGTCCTGCAATGCACAAATACAACATTCAGTAACTGCTGATGAATGAAGTGCCTAATGGAACAATTTTCAACAGCATTTTAAATCTATACTTATTGAGCTAAAGAAGAGAAGACTGAAGATATCACTAATAACACAATCAAAGCAAAAGCAGATGAAGCACACTTGGCATAGAATTCCAGACCAATCGATAATCCAGTTTGAGGAGGTTACGATCGATTTAACAAGTTCATTGTGCTGTAGAGTCACATCAAACAAGAGGAATTGGTACAACTACCTAGTTTATCCTGGAGGGATAATTTCACATGATATGGGCGGCCTCAAAAACAGAACTGTACCTAAATAAAGAAGGTAGTTAACCACTTTTCTTTAAAATTGAAAGTCCAGATGTTATCAGAAACCTCTGTAATCTTTACTTAGTAAAATGAAATATCATCTTCTTATTTTAAAGTACAATAAACCTTCTTAACTGTCATTATATAGTAACTATGAAGTCTCTTTCTTGATAAGCAAAAGATATTTCATTAAATGGACCAAGAAGGTCCCAAAGTATAACATGTCATCATTAAAGCTGATTATCTCCCAGTCTTCATGTAGACACTCCAAATATGTCACATAGCTTATAATTGCCCATTATTTGTTGAAAACTGAAGGGGAAAAGTAATGCAGGAATTCAATAGCTTGGCAAATTCTTTACACCAGCTTGTCAACACCATGTTTCCACTTCGTTTTCCTGATACTCAGTTACAGAAGAGATCATGTGGTCCTGCATTGTCTTTTAAAACCTAGCTAAAATCAAGACTTCCAATCACAAAAACACTAAGTAATTTCTTATCATCTGTCCTAGCCTTGGTGGATAGAGTTATCTGGTACTTGTTGTTGGCGAGAACCAATAAGTATCAAGTATGTCATGGAATTAGTCAAGGTGTGTGAAAGCTGATCCAGACACCACAGTAATCAAAAAACCAGTCCACTATGCATCACTCTCAGATTATTAGGCAGAGCTCCATGAATCCTCAGTATTGCTCAGTTGCCCACCTCTATTCATGCAATGTTAATAACAACTGACATTTAAACTAAATCTGCTCCTTAAATTTCAATCCAAAGATGGAGAAAACAAGAGCGAGCTAATACATACAAGAGCTAAAAAAGTTTGGAAAAAAAAAAAAAAACAGTAGCAACAAGACAGCTTGGGGAAAAAATGCTAGAAAGAGGAAGGAGCTTTACCATGATGTCCATGTGCAGCCAATCGGCACCACAGTTGAGCATGCGCTCTGCTTCAGATGCCAAATTAGCAAAGTCTGATGACAGCATCGAAGGTGCTATGATTGCCTTCACCATCTTCGTCACTTGCTAATAAGAAATCAAACAAATATATGAATCAGTTGAGGAATCTAAAGCTACGGTCGAAAGACTAGAAACGAGAATCTCATAGAAGCTTCCTATATACCTACCGGCCGTAAAATTCTCCGTTCAATCAAAAGTCCGGCGCCGGCGTAGATAGTAGTCGTATCTCTCTTTTCGGTCGACTGAGAAAATTTGTAGCACTAAACATATATTACCCTTCTACCTACCATTTAACTTTATGCCACTAGTGATTTGTGTAAATCAAAATTTTAATCTAATAAAAAAATATTATTAATTTATTAATATTGGGTTTTGAGTTAATGATTCGATATTCATAGATAATTTTATAAATTTTCTTGTAGAGTGTTTTGTCTTTCGATTAGTTCGATTTTTTTATTTTTTTTATTTTAGTTTATGCTTAAATTGATAACTCAACAAAATTATCTTAAAATTGTTTTGTTCCTAATGAAATAAAAGTTAGAGTTTAAATAGAATTATATTCTTATTTTCTGCAATTTTATCTTTGTAAGATATCCAATTTCTCGAATAACAATCTTTTTCATAGAAATTTGTTGCATATTCGGTTAATAAACAAGTTGTTTCAACCGTAAAAATAAAATCGAATGCATTTTCAATTAATAAATTTTAAAAAAATTATAATAAGATATTTTTTTATAACACTTTGTTATTTCACCTAAATATTTTTTTTTTAATCCTTATAGCACCTTTTATCAAAATTTGAAGTCTAGAAATTTACGAGGTTTTATCCTTGAAAAATCATTTATAAAATTTGTTTGTTTATTTCTATTTGTAGCATTTATCTCATTTTAAGGAACTTGTTTATACTCTATCAATTGGCCTTTTATTTAAAATTAGTTATGCTTGTTAATATTACAAAAAAATTGAAGTGTCAAAACCTCTTAAAACACCTATAATAGTAGATTGTTCAAAAAATATTTTGACTAAAAATCAACCTTATATTATAATAATCAAGTTGAATTCAACTCTTCTGGTTTGGTCACCAACAACTCTAGACTCATGATCTTTTTTTGTTTCCATTCAATATCTCATATCGTTGAGGTTCAACTAATTCTGACTTGAGCCAGAAAGTGCTACTTCCAAGAACAAAGCTCCCCACTAGAGGCAACTATATTCTCAAGATAAAATCCGATTCATATATTTCAAATCTTAGTCATGTCTCACTAATTAAACCAGCAAAATTGGTAAGTGACATCATACCTAAGTTGAATTTTAATATATCAGACTTTGCATAAACATATACTATCAATCAATAATCTCATCTCAATCATCCAAAAGCAAACATAGTAACCATTTTAATTAACTACAACATATGGATAGTAAAATCCTTTCTGATAGACTATTTTCACTTTAACATATCCTGTCCTGTTTCTACTGATGAAATAAAGATCTGATCACTATAATAATCCAAAGATGAAGTATTCTAAATTAGATTAATAACTATATCTAGCACACCTAACAAAGGGTAGATCAAATGTTTTCAGCTCATCAATCCATCAGTTATATAATCATTTTACCAACAGACTTGATCTAACTTCAAATGCAACGCGACGTTAATATCTCAGTTGAAACTATGGCTTCTCTTCATCTGATTGAGGACAAGTTGGTTCTGGAGAGGCCTCAGCATCAACAAAGAACTCCTCTACTGAAAAGAAAAGGAGAAAAAAAGACCAAATCAAGCTAATGCAAGCAAACATAAGAACTCTAGTCTGCATTTCATTAACAGTGTCATAATAACGAAATGAACTGTATTTCGCAGAAAACAGATATTCCCGAAGAGAAGTGTGTGGAGATGCAGAAAGTCACATGTATCAATGTTTTGCATCTAACTTATGAGCCAGTCAGAAACTTGCAATTGAACAGTAATGCAGAAGTAAATATTCCATGTTGACTGGAAATGTAGCAAATGAAAGCCAGAATGCACGAACAAAGATCAGAAGTGAGATGCCAAACAAAGCTACAATGGTCTAATGTAACGAAAGAAAATTTTAGAGTAAAAAAACAACAGCATTGTGTTTCTGAAAATTTTAGTAGGTGGCAGTGGGTTGCCTTGTTGTCTGTTCATATTCGTAGTCGTAGTATTGCTCATGTAGTTTCTTGTCCTTTGATTTCTGTTGCTATTTATCGTTATCATATTGTTTCGTCATAGTTACCATTCTGTTACTATCTGCTATGTTTGTTATTACTTGTACTTCCATTACTTCTTTTTTGGGACTGCTTTGGACATTTTTTCATTGAGACAAGGGTCTATCAGAAACAACCTCTCTACCTCTAAGATAAGGTTTGCGTACACTCAACCTACCCCAGAGCCCAAAGCCCAGACCCCCCTTTGTAGGACTACACTAGGTATGTTGTTGTAAACACAACATCGACATTGCATCTAATAACTTTGGCTAAAAACAACAGACAAGTTGAGATCCTTAAAGCTAAAATATTTTGAACATCTCTGCAGATTATGATTCAAAGCATACCATTCGATGAGCAAGAAAGTAAAAGCTCTCACCTATATCATCTTGCTCAGGAGAGTCAAGTAGAATATCTGAATCAGAAGGCAAATATGCAGAACCAGGATAGTTCCCAAGAGGTCCTAGATCTGTAATTATATTGAAGCAAAAATGAACATTAATCAGAATAAAAGAGGAATAAATTATCAAAAGGAAGAAAAAAAGAAAGGAATAGGCGCGCATGAGAAAGGTGATAGAAAATTTTAGAAACCTGAGCAGAATAACAATCCATAAAAAATCATCATTGAAGAAGAAACCCATGCAAATTATTGTACTCACTACTAGTACCACTGCAACTATGTCTTTGTAAGTCTTATTTTCCAATACATATCATATATGTAATTACACTCCTGTTATTTTCTTGAGCCGAGGGTCAATCGGAAATAACGTCTCTACCTCCCAAGATAGGGGTAAGGTCTGCGTACACACTACCCTCCTTAGACCCTACTTGTGGGACTACACTGGGTATGTTGTTGTTGTTGACATATCATACATGTAATTTGTAAATATAATGAACTTTTAGAGAATCACACCTTATTCCCTGGAAAAGAATACTGTGATGCAACATTTTTGCAGTCTCTTAGTCTGGTCTGCCTATCCATACCACTACATAACAATAAACAAGTAAAACCATACTAGAAGTCCTTGAAAAGTATGTAGTTAATCGAAAATAAAGGTCTTTGACGAGTATGAATGTAAATCACCACAGGCTGGCCACCTATATCTATCCAGGCATAGGGCATACTGATCAGTGCACCAGAGACTAGTCTATTTTCCTGTCGAATGGATCTCCTTTTGACCTAACGAAGTCCACAGCTGACTAGAAATAAATATCAAGTAGAATTCTGTTGCTGAGCCCAAAACCTATAAGCATTTCCTGAAAAACTGAAGAAAGACGGCTTCCCCGAGATTGCTCAAGATATTTTTGTCTCTAAGGTGGAAGGAGGCACCAATCTGAAAACTACTAAAAGTTTTCTGAAAGCACAATACAGAGATAAGATATCTAGGACCAGACAGTTCAAAACCTCAATAGCGTCTAGTAGTAAAGATGTTTGCATTATTAGAGATAAAGCAAGACCCTTGATAGAAGTCTAGAACTGTGATAATACATGAAAAGCATAAGGTTTCAATTGTGGACAATATGATTTTTTCCCACACGAATGTTCCTACTGAGCTTAGAAGTACACTAAATATGTATACACTTATTATGCTACCTCAGAAATTAAATGTTACAGTGTGCCGTAATTGACTATTAACAAGAAAGTTCATATATGAAGTACTGCTTAGTGCTTAATGGAGTAACTACCATGAACTTCATCTAGTGTTCCAGAAGAGTAATGCAGAGTAAATTTCCCATTTTAGGCTGATGGACTTAATTTGTAATACTACAAACCAATTGATTGGATTTTTATGTGAGTGTCGTTCACTCTGCTATTATGAATTGTCAAAAAGAGCCCATGGAAATAAGACAGTAACAAAGTTCTCAAATCTCACAACATCAAAGGAAGCACCAAAGGAGTGGGAGGGGGATTGGACCACATTGCAAATTAATGCTAAATCTTGCTTTCTAGTTACGAGCAGTGATAACGTTTGAGTTGTGCATAAGTTAACTTACCTCCCAAGTTCGACAGATCTGCTGTTAGATCTGAGAGACTAAAATTCCAAGGAATCTGAGCCAAAGATCTCAGTGAATCCCTAGAATTACCAACACCACTATCTGGTGGTAGTTGTAATCCTACTGAGCTCGCTACATCAGATGGAAAAGCAGCATCAAGGGCTGAGGTGTCAACTCCCATACCCGAAATCTCTGAAGCAGTAAAGGGAAAATGGCCGCTGGAAGCTACTGATGTAGGGCTTACAGCCATATCTGACATGGCATTGCCAGGTGGAACAGCTGCTGCTACATCTGACACACTGGTGTCAATCACCATACTGTCAGCAGGGAACAATGTGTAAAGTGTCATTTGTCATGCCACGTCTCCTTCAACAAATATAAATATATTTTCATCCCAGAAGCCCAAAGATATGTTCACTTCAACAATCAGCTTATTTAATCATCTTTAAAAAGAAGACAAGAACCTCATTTCCTTAACAAACTACGTATGGGCAACAACAAACAAGTATTAGGTTTGAAATATTCACATAAAAGCAACCTATTTCCCTAACCTACACTCATTTAAAACCAATATGGAACATCAATGCAATTTCAGTTCCTACTAACTCTGGGAAAGCGTGAATTAAATGTACTGGAAATAGTAAAATGGCAAATCTTTGAAAGCATGGCAAGTAAGATGCTGAGCAAACAAGTACCACAGCCACACTGGCTAACCAGAAAAGAATTTAGATAGCTCATAAATTTCTATTTTAGAATCAAAGAGGCCTACAATCCTAAACAAAAAAATATTCTCACTCGTTTCCTGAATTCATCCTCATCGGATGATAGTTTCCTGGTGCAGGCACACCATTAACCACATGACAGCTGGACATGCCCATTGGATCAAGATGAGGTTGACCTGCAGCTGGAACTGAAGGTTGCTGCAGGACGGGATATCCCATTGGTAAGTTGTTGACTGCACCGGAAACAAGTGGCAATAAATATAATGATAATAAAACTTAAAAAAAAGACTTATTTACCTGTTCTGAAAATAATATTAATCCCCATGCTATTCAAACAGCTTAATTCCAATTTGAAAAGCCATGTATCTCAATATTGAGGAAGAAAGCAAGTGCAGAGGGAAAGTTGAACTACATATTTTGTAAGAATTTATGTTGTATAAACTCTTTGTTTTTAAAAGGATGACTTATATTGTATAACTCTCAATATTTCCCCTCTACAGAGTGCCTCCATTTGGTCCACTCAAGAATGCAGGCGTTGTCCAAATAAAGTTATAAAGCAACACGAGTTTCTTTGCCCATTCCAAACCATTTAAAAGAGACATTATGCAGAAGAGACAAGCTTCTTCACTGATAAAGATTAGTACAGTTAACCCTCCACTACAACTGGTGGGGTACCTATCTTCTACATGTTCACAAAACGAAAAGATCGCAAAGGAGGACATAGAAAAGGATCAGTAATTGATGATTGGACAATCTCAACATTTCCAAATCTAATCCCGAAGCAGAACAATACAGTAATACTCGCCTTCATACAACAAATAAATTTACCTGGCATGGTACTAATTCCATTCTGCATTGGAGCCAACGGAACCTTTGGAGGCACAGGATATTTCATTAGATGATACTGATGCTCAAGCAAATGATTGAACAGGATGATTTGTTTCTTTAGTTTAAGCCTAATGTAGTAGGCCCGAAAGAAATCTGCATTTTCTTCTTCTAATTTTTGCCAAACTGTACACAATTTGAAAAGATATTAAAGTTAGAAACTGAAGATCTAGAGTGACCACCCAATAACCATAGTCATGAACCAGAAAACACTTGTTTATAATACATGTGAGACAAAGACAGCATATATAATGCAAGCAGACAGAATCATCAACTTCATCAGTAACTCATGTACCTACCTAGAGTTGTAAATCCAGGATCTATCCTTGCACGATTCAGAAGTGTTTTCACCACTTCATCCTTATTCATATACAATTGCAAGCACCTTTCAATCAAGTTTTGGACCTGCAACAAATATGTCATCATAAAATTAAAAGTCCCCAGTAAAACTTCCCAATGAATAATATCCAGGCAAAATAAAGAACTTAAAGACTGTCTTACTAGTTCAATATCTTCACGTGAAACTTTTCTGTTATCATTGCCTGATGCAGAAACAGAACCTGCATCAGCTACAGGTGTGTCTGCTGTATGGTTCTGCTGGTCATTGTGGGCCTCGTGAGAAGCCTGAATTGATGGTTTCTTTTCTGTGTTGTTTGGCTGCAGCTTTTTTTCTGCTTTGATCGGCTGCAGTTTTTTCGTAAAATAATAGAAGCAAACATGATTCCACATCTGAATAATAGCTATCCAACAGATATTCTTAACTAAAAACCATAAGCATTTCAGAATTTTAGAAAAAATTATTCTCTAATTATTAAGTATAGTGCATCAGTATATAATATCGTTAACAAATAGCAGCATTTCAACACTTCTAGAAAAATGATAGGCCACATTGCCAGAAGAATGCACATATAACAGCAAGAAATGAAATATCATAACACAGCAAAGGGAACTTCGCTGAAATACAGAATAACCTTGGTGGTCTTCATTTTAGCTCAACTCCAAGCACATTAAATATCTCCATGAAGCTCCAACATGTCACTGCTACAATTTGTATCTGTACTTCCAGTACTCTGCATATGGGAAGTTGGAAAACTAATCACCTGAGAATAAAAAGTACCATCAAATAAGAAGATACAAAAAATCACACGAACTCAACAACAGAGGGAAACTGAAAATTGAAAGTTTAGCATAAAGTTTCAGAATTGAGAAAGAAAATATCATTTTCTATGCAAGAGACTGATATATTTTAGGATAATGTATCAAGTCTAAAAAGAACCGTTGTACTCCCACTCCCCAGATTGAAACTGATACATGATACTTATCGAGTTCTATAGAACTTGATGAGTTAAACTGAAAAAAGAGAATTTATTCCAGACAAGGAGCAAACTATAAAAATATAGAAAGGAACCTATTACACTGGATAGTAAATGAATCCGATGTAACTTGCACAGAAATATCCCCTTTTTGGGCATAATATTATGATCCTTGAAGAATCTTCTTTTAGGATCTTGAGATAAGAACTTATTTCATACTTATACATATACAGTATACTAAGGAATATCAAAGTCATGGCTGGAAAAAATGCATTCAGATGGAGATACAAACCAAACTCTATTAGAGGTACCACTATTGTCATCCCCCAAGTTAATTTGTACACAACAGATAGACTACTCCAACTTTCTGAGAGTTTGAACTATTAATCAAGTACTGCAGCATTAAGGAGATACTTGGAGGAATGGTATAGTTGTTTCGGTGTGACCTATAGGTCATGGGTTCGAGCCGTGAAATCAGTCAATGATGCTTGCATCAAGGTAGTACCTACATCACACACCCAAGTAGCAGCCCTTCCCCGACCCTGCATGAATGTGGGATGCTTAGTGCACTGGTCTGCCTTTGCAGCATTAAGGTTCATGGAACATGAACTGCCACCCTATCGCAACAAAATGGTCATCTGTTCTGATTTCCCATCTTCCATTATATTCTACAAAGAGTTGTTCAGCCTATATTTCTTGTCTATTTTGTTCATTAAGCCCTAAAGCCTCAAGTAACAACTGAGTATCTCCAAAAAGTCTCATCCCAAAATTGTATGTGCTCCATACCTACTGGCTTCTTTTTTTTGAGATAAAGGTAACTACACCATACCTGCTGATTTAAATACTGAAATTACCTCGTTTACACTGTATAGTGCTCAAGCTGTACTATCTTCAAATAATGCAAGAACTAAGAAAATGGAGGAGCTAATACTGTTGAAAATGGAAAACTGATTTGAAGAATACTACAGAGAGATTGGCTTCAAAAAAAGTCTCCTTATTTTTTCTCTGTCCACTGTTTACAACCTGTCCAGATCTGGATTCTACACTGTAGGAGCAATTGGAAAGGGACACTAGAGAGAAACACTATCCTAGAAAATTTATATTTCTCATGTAATTTGGCTCCTTCAAAATCTCAGATGCTTATCTACAGAGACCCTAAAAGTGAAAATCCATACAAACAAACTCTAGCATCAGCAAACCATCACATTAATGAGATTAACATACCATAACAAAGAATCCTGAAAAAAGTTATAAAAAGAATCAACTCATCAAAAAATTCTCCACAAAAGGTTAAGACTTTTCTACAGAATGTGTGACTTTAACTCACAGAAAAGATTAGGTCTTTTCTACCAAATGCTTGACTTTAATAGGAATCCATAAAGTCTTTAATCAAATGCTTAACTGCCGAAAGCAGCTCTGATGGTATAAGAAATCAAAACAACAATCCGCATTTCATTAAAAGTAATTCAATCATCATCTAATAGGCAAAAATAAAGATACCTACATTGCAAGAGCCTAGTACAAGACCTCCAGCTTGACATAATAGAAATTACATAGTACTAATAGATATTATCAGCCTCTCTACCTCCTCGGAGGTAAGAGTAAGGTCTGATACACTCTACCCCACTTGAGGAATTACACCGCTTATGTTGTTGTAGTAGAAATTATCAAAGATCTCAAATCTAGTAGCACAAAAGTTGCCATTTTTCCAATCAAGATTATCTTTTTCCAGAAAATCAAGACTCTGGGGTTATTCAAAAATCACTCAGTAACACACAACTAACCATACAAACACCAATCTGACAAATCCCTAACAAGGATTCATACATACAACAACTTGGTATTATGAGCTAAATCCCTAAACTTAAAAAGAGTAACAGCAGATTCAAACACCCAATTCAGAAATGACACAAAGTATGCAAATAAAACATCTAAAAAAATCAAAAACATAAACCCCTAAAACCCAACTCAAGAAATGCTTGTACAGCCAAGAGAAACCCAAAAAGACCAAACCTTTGCCTTGAAGGTGGCTAACTGAACCAACCCTTTGTCTTACAGTAACATCTATTGAACAAAGTGCCAGCAAAATTTGAACTTGCTAGAAAAAATTGGAAAAAAAAAAACAGCAAATCTGCAAGAAAAAAGAGTCAAGAATCAAGGCTAAAGAAGATTAAGAAGAGAAAAATCAAGTCTTGATGGATTTTTTGGCTTAGAAGAGTCAAAGAAGAGGAACAGTTGAGGAAGGTTTATGAAGGAAAATTGTGAAAAAAAATGGTTTATGAGAGTTGCTTATTGGTGCTTTTGTTCAGTAAAGAAAAAATAGCAATGGAAAAATGCATTATACCGCCAAACATAGATTCAATAATACCATTACATTATTTTATTCTAATTTGAATTCAAAATGAACAAAATGCCCTAAAATTAGAAAATGCTATAATAATTTGTATATAATCCAAATTTGAAATAATACGTCGATTATTATACCTTATACATCATACCAAACGATTCATAATTGAACATAAATCGAAATTATGTTGAACTGTGTGATCATGGGTCAATCACGTGGAAATTCTTTTTGATATGAGAGTCGATTTCATGACATTTGTCTGCTCTGATATCATGTTGAAGTGTGTGACTCATCTAAAAACTTAAATTATTAGAAAAAAACATATTTTTATTATTTAATTATATTTTCAACGGCCTTCTTTCAAGACTTTGTGTTCTATACTTCTATTGCCATTATGGTTAATAGTGTTATTACAATGAAATACAATTTTCATTTCTGAATATATATTTTTTTTTAGTTAAAAGAGAAATAATGAACTCTCACTTTTTATTCAACTTTTTCCAACAAAAATATATTTTATTTTTAATGAACTCATCTCTCACTTTCAACAATTTTTTTATTTTTATTTTTCAAATTAGGAAAAGAACAAAATATATGACAAAATTTGAGACCAATTTTTATGTAACATGCACTTGTAGAGAAGCTGTCTGGGCATACATGAACATCACAAAGAAAAAAAAAACTTTATGAATGCATACTTTTGGGTCCCCAAAGAGACACAAAGTTTATAGTGCAAAAACCCAAATTGTTGCCTCTTTTTTTCTATTTTTTTTTTTTAAAAAATATATATTTTTCTCTCTGCAAAACAACAGTACAGTATAAGGTACAAAATATAAAGTTTAGATAATATTTACATCAGTGTAATATTGATAAACAGTTATCTACCTTCGGTGTTTATATCAAATTATATATATAATGTTATCATAGTTAAATGATATTAATGAAGTAAAAGTGCATGCTTATTATTGTTAAGAGCTAAATAGTTGTGTATTTGCAAATACATGTATCTATTGATTTAATGTCAATATTAGGCATAAGGGTGAATAATTTTTTGCGTGTAATTGTTGACTATCATACTAGACTTGTCATAAATAATTGGACCCCATGTGTATTCAAATTGGAATTAGTCGTACAAGTGATTTTTCAAATACTAACTGACTATATAAGAAAATACTCCTTCGATCAATTTTTTAATTCTTGAATTTAAATTATGTAAACTTTAATTAATATTTTAAAATATATCGTTTCATTATATTGACATGACATGATCAATCACAATTTTTTATATATTTTTCTAATAGCTAACTTTAAAAATATCAAGTTACTCGAATCCAATTCAAACTCAAAAACTACTTCAATTGGCTCTCGATAACGAAAATATCAATAAATTAAAATGAATTCATTAATGTAATAAATATTTTTTTAATAAAAATATAATATGCAATTGTATTTTATTTATTTTTAATAAAAAATGGTCAATGACCATAATTTATTAAGAAAAAGCCAAAAAATATGTACTTGTATTGCTCATAAATTAACCACTATTTTTTTTTGGTAGGGGGATCACACTGAAAATAGTCCTACAAAGTAGATCTTCTTGTTACCCACATGAGTTGTGGTGCACAGGTGGGAGTACTTCACTCTTAACTAGAGGTCTCGGGTTCGAGCCCTAGGTATAGAGAAAATCATGTTGAGAGCGTCATCCCCGAATGGGCCCTGCATTACGCTATTCAGATTTAGTTGAGGCTCCAATGTGGACTCCGAACACCAGGTTGAAAACCAAAAAAAATAAATGGTCTTGTTCATTTAATTAAGCAAAAATTGGCATCTATGGCTATAAGAGGACCACTCCTTTTGTTGTTGGCCCATAATTGCTTGACAATTGCCAATAAGTTGATCCCCATAAATCAAATATCCACCTCCCACTGGTCAAAACACTTTTTCCTCTAATGCATAAATCAAATATCTATTGAATATATTTTACTATTATTATTCATGCAAATATGATGTATTCTGCTACAAAAATATTGTATAATCATGAAGAGATTGAATTTTCAGGTTTTCACTATTATTATATACGCTAATACAATGTATTTCGTTATGTTTTAAAATCAAAATGCTAATACCTTTCGTAATTAAGTAAAATCTCAATCTTTTATCACAAATTTGGGCACAAATAACTTTATTTATGAAAATTTTCCTTTTAAAAAATAAGTAACGTTTTTACATATCACTTGTTTAAATAGGTAACTAGAAATATTTACATATAATTTAGCAAAAAAAATTATGACGACGAAGGTGAAGAATGGATGAGGAGTACTAGTGGTGAGTTGGGGTGGTGGGGAGGGGGGTTACAGGCTGACAAAAACAGATTCAAAATTTAGAGTTCATATGTTTTGTTCTGTATTTGCCACCAAATTCATAGTTATCTTAGTTAAATGATTCATATTTAAATATTTATACATATTTAATGAAAAAAGGGAAAGAAATTATAGGCCTTTTATTAAAGATTGATTTTATGCCACTAAATTTGTTGGGTAACTCTTGTATTCAAAAAATGAATATATCACTATAATAATATTATATTATAAAAAAAATGGCTCAAATCATATTGATAAAACTCAATTCAAGTATATTACTACAATTCTCATATATGAGATTCATGTTTTAAAACACATACATTATATGTTCGTTAGAAACCCTATCAAATAATTCCTTTTCTATATAAGGTACCAAATAACCACGCAAAAATTCAACATCCCTTCATTTTGTAAGACAAACTTAATGAATTTCATTCAATTCTTTTAAAGACAACTATAGTTGATGTCTGGTATGATCGGAAAGTTCCGGACAAAAGTTGACACCTTAACCACAAGAGTCACGAGCAGTTTGACACAAAAAATGTTCTTTTAATTGATTTATCTTTTAGTTTCAATTTTTTGTAAGTATATTTAGTAAAAAAAATCGACGAGTCAATGTCACATTGATATTTGATGAGTAGGTGATGTTTTGATTCACTTTTTGATTTTTTTGGAATAATTTTATAATTAAAGTAATTATATTAAATAACTCTCCATTTTGGTAGAAAAATGAAAAATTAAGTTACTATTTCATGACTAGGTAATGTTCATGCACGAGTATATAGAAGGTATATAATGAATGACACGTTTACACGTTTTTATAATACTCTGTACGTATCACATACGCACGCTTTAGTTTTTTTCCTAATCAATCATAGAGATAGGTGATGATAGTTCTTGCAAATTTCAATCATAGAGATAGGTGACGACAGTTCTTGCAAATTTCAAGGAAGCATGGCTTGACACTTGTTTATAATACATTAGCGAAACTAATTTCTTCTTCCCTCTCCTCCAATCATGTGGTGCAACAGCTTGATGTTACTTATATATCCATTAAATCTTATTTTCTATGCTCTCATGAAATATGTTAAAATTAATTATCATCCTTAATAGGAAATTTGGATTGGGTAAGGAACAACTAGGAATGAGTAGGTTATATTTATATGACATGTTTAGTTTCTTTTCTTGTTCAAAAGGACAAAACAACAATTGAATACAAAAAAGTGAAGTAAAAAATCATACTTCTCATGTCTTGTCAATTAAATATGATTGGTTCTAAGTGCACACGTTTCAAGAAAAGAGTGGCACATCGTGGCTCCATTTTTCACCCTTTATTTTCATTTTCAAACTTCCTATACTTGACTCTACTTCCTTGTTTGGATATGACAAACTCATAAGTTGGCTTGCACTTTTGGGGCCTTTATTACATTCTTATGTTAATCCTAAACACATATTTCCTCGAGGTTGTTTGGTTGATGGGATAAAGATAATAATTTCATGGTATCTGATGTGATTATTTTATCGTGCGTTTGATAATAAGTACTCCTTTAGTCTCAATTTACGTTACGAGACATTATTTAACTTAACACAAAGTTTAAGAAAGAATAAAGACTTTTAAAATTTCTGGTCTAAAGCGTTTCTCGATCACTTGTGTGACCATACACATTTAATTAAGGCTAAAATGAAAACTTTCAATTTTATAAACGTGGCATTCCTTTTGGGATAGATTAAAGAGCAAAGTGTGCCACACAAATTGAGACAGATGAAGGATTATTTAACTACAAGATTATTTTATCCCACAATTTTAATATAACGATGGGATACGTAATCTCATATAGAATGCGAAATACAATAATCACATGAGACGTCCTTGTTTATTCCACCCCACCAACCAAACGACCCCTCAAAGAATCTAATTGAGAAATTGACATAAAGAGCGGTCCACCAAAATTATAACCAACATATATATTTTTTTGTATATTGATATGATATACATATTATATTTTTGATACAAATTAGTGTATACTTTGTGATATATTTAGCTAGTAAATGTAATTATCTTTAGCAGACCAACCAAATGTGTAACTTGCCCATTCTAACTTCCATGTACTATGATAACAAGCTGAAGTGTGAATTGTTGATCGATCAACGGAGTGAAAGTTATAAAGGAAATTTAACTCTCAGTCTCATTTACTGCCGCAAATAAAAAAGAAGGACAACCGGAAAACTAACAACAGAAAATAGGGCATCCATTTTAGCCTCTGGCTCAAGATAAATGACTCGTCTCGCTGTGACCTTCTCTTGAATACTTCCTTTGTATCAACAAGAATGACAAATTCGGTATACAAAGATCAATATCTTATTTTTGGTTGTAGATATCGGTTTGTTGAATTTTGAAAAGAATAATAATCTACACATGTACAAAGAAATGCTTTATGATGTTGATTATTGTGTGTATACAAGTATGATATATTGTCCGTAATTTTTATTTTTTATTTTCCACGTGGCTTCTGATATCTATACTGAAGTCCAGTTAAATTTGGATCGCGAGTTGCAGGACCTGTTTGCCTCAACGCTTCCAA